GTACGGATGGATGGATGGGGAGATGGACGGATGTACGGATGGATGGATGGGGAGATGGATGTACGGATGGATGGATGGGGAGATGGATGGATGGATGGATGGATGGGGAGATGGATGTACGGATGGATGGATGGATGGATGGGGAGATGGATGTACGGATGGATGGATGGGGAGATGGACGGATGTACGGATGGATGGATGGGGAGATGGATGTACGGATGGATGGATGGGGAGATGGATGGATGGAGAGATGGATGTACGGATGGATGGATGGGGAGATGGATGGATGGATGGATGTACGGATTGACAGATGGATGGGACTTTATTTCTTCTACTAAATACAAAAGATGAAATTTTGAAGAATGTTGGTAATAAAAGAGTGGACGGCAGCCACTGACTTTCATGTCTCCTGTCAACCGTCTGGTTGCCAACATTCTTCAAAATATAGCTTTTTGTGTTCAATGCAAGAAATAAATTCATACAGGCTTTAATGAGAAGGTCACAAGAACTACATGAGCTGAGTAAAACTACATGCTCTATCCTAGTGAAGTAATCATTAGATTTAGCAACGCCTCTGAATGATGATGACTTCAACTATTTGCTATACTGTGTGCAGTTTAGTTTGGTATATAATGTGGGTAATCGAGCTGATATCTGCTCCTCCACTTGTCGAGCCAGCAGCGAGGGCAGGACTTATAGGCCGTGATATCATAGACGTGATATAGTACAAAGACAAAAATGTGTCACTGACTAAACCATGTGACATCCCTTCTGATCACCTTCACTAATCTCACTTACATACAGCCAAGACCAACACCGATCGGATACTAAAGAACCTCAGGAAAAGATCCTTTTGCAATGGTTTTGTCACGAAAGGATGAACACACTAAGAAGTTCAAAATAATTCAATTTTATCAAAGTATGTACTTGAAGACCACCTGTGCTGAAAATCATGTTGTAATGATGTCTATGTGTTGTTTTTAATATGCTTTCAGACTAACCATGTGCAAACTCATAAGTCAACACCATTGCTCAAGTATTTTCTTCTTAAAACTGCAGTGAACCAAAGACATCCAATTAACATTAGCAGCTGTTTGATAACTAAAAGGCTATTCATATTTATTACCATTCTGTGTCTGGTGTTGTAAAGAGCGATACCTTTGTGCACTGTTTTTACTACAGTAACCCGAGTAAAAGTTGACTGAGTGGGTCTGAGTGAGCGGAGGCGGGTTCATTTGCACACACACACACAGTATATATATATAATCACAGGTTGGACCCTACACTATACATTTAATTAAAATATTTAATAAGTTATGCAAGTGTGCATGAAGGTTAATAATATACGGAAGCCTCCATGCAAGCCCACACACTCACAGTGAAGGTCAGATGGACTGATGTCCGACATATCTGATATCTGCATCGGCCTCGGAAAACACTGCAGCTCCAGTTCCCTCTGCAGTGACCTCTAAACACACCAGTTCAATGGCAGATCAATCCCTACACACGCTGCCTGAAATCGGCACAGTTTTACACATTCCCTTTGGCTGTAAACCTCCAGATCTGCTCCAGGGACCAGAGGTCATCCTCGACCCCAGACTAGGCTGAGAAATATGTGCTCAGCGCATGTTTATTTACAGATCTACTAAAAGCAATTTAATGAAATAGTCAGCTAATGAGGTTATGGCAGTCCTCTGGAGCATTTGCTGTAATTGCTCACCATCTACTTGCGTCGTCCAGCAGATTGTCTGCTCTTCTGCAGCACAGAATGTCCGGACACCATGCAGATTTTATAAAGCTAAATATTGAAATGACTTCAAAGATGACAAGGGGGAAAAATCAATTAAGAGGCTTTTTTTCCTGTGTGTTCAGACACAAATGAGAGATTGTGAAATTGATGGCTTATGTTTGACGGGTTTAAGCAAAAGTCATTGAACTTTGTAGTTTCAGAGAAATTAGATAAACGTCGTGTGGAGCTCAGACACTTTTCAACATGACTGACATTTATCTAAACTAAGACGAGACCTCTGCGACTTCAACAGCTGCTCGTTTCTTCCAAAATCAACCCTAATGTGACACACTGACTGATTGGATATTGACTAGGAGACGGTCTTACCTGTGATGTTTCCGCGAGCTGAACGGGGAGAAGGAGGTCCTGCTCCGCCGGATGGAGATGTTCCCGGACGGGCTTCCGTCCTCCGCCGCTTCCTCCACATTTAGCTGCGGTATGATCTGACCAACTGTACAAGACATTCCTCGACTGCTCATGTAAACAGCCTCTGACCTCCCGTGAGAAGGAGAGCTCGCCTCAGGACGCAATGAGGACAGGAGGAGCTGTTCGCATCTCTGGACGTGAGGCTGGACTGCCGGGACACAGAGATGGCGAACTGATCCGAATGATTTGTGATTTCAAGAAGTGACACCTCACGTTATCGTAAATCATGCTGAATTGTAAATAAGTGCGTCTTATTTGAAGATTTCTGAGTGACACACGCAAGATAATCCTCATTGCATTTTTCCCCCCATACGCTCAATTTTGTTCCATAACAAGTCTCAGCGGCGCTTTAAAGCGTTGTCCCATTCGTGAACGAATCGCTGTTGTAATTCGGATCTTTTCAATGAATCGGTTGAACCGGTTCACAAAACCGGTCGGCGTCTCTTTTGGAAGTTTGATTAGATTATAAACTGATCGTGACGTGAACTGATAAAAAAAATCATTGAGTGAGTTTGCATCTAATTTAATAAAACGTAAGCCACTTGGAATATGTTCACGAAATGCTAGTTTTATAAACAGTCATAGTTGTTTGTCGTTTTTATATAAACCGCATGCTTTACGCTCTGAACTTTTGAAAATTTTCAGCCAAGAAATGAAAATTAGTATTAAGGAATTATTGCATAGTTTAATGCAAAATGTATGTTCTGAAAGAGTGGTACGTGGAATCACTGAATTTCGCGCGTAAGATCAAACCGGTGTGATAATTGTGTCTAAAGTGGCTTCGCTTTCGGCTGCGTGTGGGTGTAATCCATAGGTGTAATCATCCACCAGCCGGAAACTGTTTCCCCGGGAGCCGCCATTGGCTAGCAGACCTTACCCTGTTAGCATTCCATTGACTCCCATTCATTTTGGCGTCACTTTGACCGCGAATAACTTTACATCTGAGGCGTTTAAAGACTCCATTTGAATTAAAATTACTTTATTTCACTTTTAGGTGCAATACATTTGAATTTAATCATTAATTAAGTTTATTTTTATTTATATGTAGCCCATGTAAGCAGAGCAGTGAGTGTTAATGTTCAAACTGTTTTTACAATGTTTAAAGTGGCCGACAATAATAAATATTCTTATTAAATCAAACTGCCTCATCATATTGGTCATTGGTAGTACAATATTTCCTGAGGTGGTTCTTGGTGTAAAAAGTTTCAATACCACTGGTCTACATTATTTTACGAGCTGATCATGGTTGCAAGTTGCACTTGAAATTACAGTTTAATGAACACCCATGAACACATATTTTGTACCGGTTCTTTGAACAAATATTTTAAACGAATTGTAGGAAAAGAGTCGGACTTGAAATCTGTCCACACTTAAACTGACTTGATCGTTAGTCTAGAATCCACAGCGGGGGGGAAATCAGATTCTGGTATTTTAGCTGGTTCTAAACTAACTCCGATTACCCTATAAAAGGAGAAGACTGAGGAAAGGATTCAGTCGTAACTAGCCATGCATTCACTTGTGGCAGGTGTCAATATTAGAGCCATTTTTCAAATAGAAATCTTCCTGATTGAACTGAACATCTTATTCTGCTAAAGGAGTTTGATAATACTATTGCTTCAAACATGGGCTAATAGGCACAAAATATCCACAAAAATCAAATTCTGAACGCATGGGCTCTTCCTGAACAAAATACTAAAACACCAAGTCATTAAACGTTGATATAGACCATTAGACTAAATATAAAGGACCTTTCCTTCTCGCGTCCCTGTTTTGTAGTGTTGATGTTCACCAAGAGCAGTGACAGCGCACGGTGGCCAGCAGAGGGCGCCACTGCACTAATTGATCAGGCATCCTAAACTCTCCACGATATCATCTTAGTTGCAAAACAAAGAGGACAGAAATGGATTTGAGATATTTCAGAATTACATCTGTGTTCGAGTGGAAATTAAGGGATTAGGCATATATAATTTTTTGGTACAGGAAATTTGGGTCAGTCTTCTGTGCAGAGCTTCTCCTTACAGCAGACTGACAGGCTCTGCTAATGATTCGTTGGAGTGCATGGCTGAATCACAATGAGACTGAGAACAATTACACCACAAAGGAGGGATTAAGGAATGAATAATTGAACTTCTTTTCTTCTTTTTTTCTCCTTCTTAGCCCATAAGACACAGGATAACTCTAAAAACTTGATTCAAACTCACTTGACTCTCCACTTTTCTTGAGCAGGAACACATCAGATGGCTTTTTACCAAAAGCATTCTTAAATAACATTTCAAGGGCCGTGTTTGTGTACAGTACAGGGCATAAAATACGGGACTTGCCAATTGCCAAAAATGCAAGTAGGCTAAAATCGGTGTTGGCGAGTAGGCCCATATAAAACGGTGACGATCGCTGGTTAGCCTGTAACGTTTAGCCTATGAATTCTAACAATGCAATGATGTCTTCTGTCGCTTGAATGGATGAATTCATACAAAATGATGTAAAAAAAAATGTCACTGTCTGGCAAACATAGTCGGTTATGTCTAAGCGAATGCAGTTGAGAAAGATAACGCTTGTGTTTCATTGGATCCGTGCGTTAAATACGTCGCATTATTCTGCGCTTTACACTTTCAGAATCCGTATGCTCGTTTGGCTGGAAGCTACTTATTTTACTTTATAAAGTTTTAAATATTAATATTTTTCTTACACAACCTCGTCGTGGATAACTTAGATTTGCTTCGAGTTTGATTTTAATCCACAGAGACGAAAGGCATTTGAGAGAGGGAATCTCCTGAGACAGAGATGACACTGTTTTAATTGGCTTGTCATTTAATGCTTTATTACAAACCAAAGGAAGATACTGTACAAATATACATTTGAAATGAAAGGAAATATGTACAAGGTAATTTGTCCAATCAATCAATAGCCAGTAATGTTTAAAAATACTAATAATTGTGAACGACAGAGGGAAATGGCTCATGGTTTCCTTACTCATGCAGTCAAAGCACCAAAGCACACTACTGTACAAGTGCAAATCATCCACAAGAACCAGTTCATTCCATGTGTATTGGGTTAAATAAAAGTTGGCGTATAAATACAAAAAGTATTTACATTAGTTAACCAAAATCCTTTTTTATAATGCGATTCTTAGTAGGCTATATAATGTACTGATATTAGCACTGAGCCAAAATACTTGCCTTTCTCTAGCTATCGTTGTCATGCAGGTCCGTCGCCAGTCGTGTTTAGATGCACATTCTCTCAAGCAATCGTATGCAGGTGTGTAACATCTCAGCCGTGACGACCCAACACACACTCGACTGAGCCATGCACATATCAACAGCAGACAGGAACACGGGTTACGAGGAGGGAGCACTCGGACTAACATTACTTTATTTCCTCACGTCCCCGTGCGGGGAGAGAGACGTCAAAGCCGGGGAATCGACGTTGGTTGAAGCTAAATCAATGGAGCTGGTGCACATTCGGAGTGCTTTTGCATCGGCCTGAAGAAGAGCTGTGAAGGATTGGGTTGAGATAAATAAGGTCAGCCTTTGGTTCCTTTTCCTCTCAGAGCATTGACATCTACGTCTTGTTCAATGCGTGATTATCCAGCAAGAAGACATTGTGCTCCTTAAGGGTGACCTGTCACTTTCAATATTTTCTGACATCTTGTTCGTCCGTCTAATTCGTTTCCGAAGACGTAAAAAACTAGAGGGGACGAATTCATGTTATGGCCTCCTGCTGTTGACTAATGGCAACTCAAAAAGCACATTTCTGGTTCTGGGTCGAATGCCTCTGTGAGCACGAGAATCCAACAAACATTGAAATATTAGACGGGAAAACATCTGAATAACAGAGAAAATATATTTTCAACGGCATTAGAGTAACCTAGGATACAAATGTGATATATATATATATATATATATATATATATATATAAATGAACGATTCTAACCTACTGCAGTTACAATGCTGTGTCTTTTGCTAAAATAGCAAATAATCCAATTAATCTTAAAAATAAATGGTTGAAAAGAGGAAAAAAGCCCAAAACAGCCAGCGATACAACATTCAGACTCTGCAGACTTTCCCATCACATTCCTTAAAGAAAACTATTTAAACGTGATCAAATGTCTGAAACTGAGCAGAAAGCACTACATTCTTATTGGTAGATGGAAAGCATTAGAAAATCAGCCGTAATATTTAATATATATAAAAAATACAAGTATTAACGGTAGATCAGTGGCCTCAGCAAACCTCCAAAAGATGCTTTTAAAAACGTAACATATATCTTTAATTAAAATCCTAAACACACACACACTGAAATAGAACTTTTTCCCTTTAAATAACTATTGTGATGGATCGTAATGCAAATTTGAAATGTCAAAATCCAGTTTATGTCAAAAAAACATTTCAAAACATAAATTTCAGCAGAAATGTCTTTAAATTTAGTAGGATAACGGTGGACCTTCGAGTCCAAAAGGTTGATAACCACTAATGTAGAGCTTTGACCAGCCGTTGGAAATCTGTGTAGAACTAGTGTTTCCACGCGGGCAGGTGTGTGTGTGTGAGTGTGTGAGTGTGTGTGTGGGCCCGCTCGGACGGTTTCATCGTAATCCGTTACACATTTCAGTCCTAAACAAACAGCGCTGAATAAGCCTGACCCACATCATCACGCCGACCAGACATCTGATTTCAATTATATACCAGGAGCCGAAGCCAATCAACCTCATTACTGACGATACTGTACTCGTTATCCTGAAGAGTGTGAGTAAATGATTTAAAGGGATTGTGCACACACACGTTACGAATGCCGTTAGATACTTTAACTGAAATATATATGGAATTCCTATAAATACCTATTAAATACGGAATACTGCTATTCATATGGAATATTTATAGCTCTAATGAGGAACAAACCAATTTACTGTCATTGTTTATGTCACGGTGTGTTGATCTCTCCTCTTCTGGGCCAATCAGAGCGTCTGGCGCCCAGCGGGTGTCCTGCCATTGGCTGCGATCCCAGCTGGGCTGCCTGGCAAATGCTGATTGGCCGAGGAAATGAGTGGCAGATGAGGATCCTCGATGGGGCGGACGAGCAGGTCCGCTTCGGTGAATTCCTCCTCCAGGTGTGTAGCTGTCAGTCCAAACCCAGCGAGGACAGGAAGTGTGTGTTCAGGTGGACAGGCCGTCAGTCTGGGTGAAGGCCGAGCCGAATCTCTGCTCATATCTGCCTCTTTTGTTTGCTCAAACCGCCAGAACAACACAAGGCACAGTCCTCACATCTCTAAACCCTTTAAACACACACACACACACACACACACTCCACGAGGGTTTCCTTCCACTTCAGTGTGCACATAAAACAACTAAAGCATTTCTTTTCCAATGTTGAATGAAAGGCCGGACCGCCTGGGTTTCGGCAGGGAATGGGAAATCCTTTGGGAATGTTCCTGATAGCAGATGTGGGACTTGCTGTGTGTGTGTGTGTGTGTGTGTGTGTGTGTGTGTGTTTTGTATTCCTACACAGTCTGGAAAGCCTTGGTTTGCGCGGGGATCATCACCGGTGTGGCGCCCATCCTCGCCAGGTTGGCCGGGCTGGGTTTGGGGCTGCCGCTGGGCTCCGGGGGTTTGGGGGCCGTGTGGTTGTACGGCGGTGGGACTGAAGGGAAGTTTTCGGGCTGCCCGCTTTCTTTAAGGGCGGCCACCACGGGCAGTCGAGGCCTGGGCCCACGGGGGGCGCTGTTGTGCACCATCGACTGGGTGGAGGAGGCTCCGGAGCGAGAGCTACCAGAGCGAGAGGACGACAGAGAGTTCGGCTTCACCAGTTTGGCTTTGGGAGCTTCTGCATCTTCCCTGAAACAGAAAGAGAGAAAATATATTTCCCTAAATGAACATAAATAAACATCTGATAAAAACAAAAGTGTTGCGTTTATAATTTTGTTCAGTGTATGTAAATGTATTTTGAAAATCATATATAAAGACACTCAAATACGTTTAAACCTTTCAGGCTACTGGCTAACGAGACTAGGGGAATGACGTGTCAGCGAGAGCAGTGTAGACGTGTGTATCTGCTGTCATATGCATTGTTAATGCTCACTCATCCTCCAAACCTGCATAATTCATCCGGACACCTGCAAATTAGCCTAGACATCAATGCAAGTTAACCAAGAGAAATAGAGCTGCTCGACATTAGAAATAGTGTAATTATGTCCAGCGTGCCATTTAAAGAAATGTTTTTTGTTTGTTTGTTTACCTTATTTCATTGGGCGCTTCCTCCTCCTCATACTTCTTCTTCTCTTTCTTGCGGAAAACAAGCCAGACGATGAGGATGATGAGCAGAACGCCGAAGGACACGCCCACCACGGCACCCGCGACCACGCCCATTCCACGCACGTCTGCAAAACAGCACACGCTTACAGCGGAGTCCACTTTATAAAGAGTCGTGTGTGTGTGTGTGTGTGTGTGCTGAGGTGCGCTTCATGGTCGAGTCACATTCATGTAAATTATTTCATGCTATTTTTGTTTAGTTATTTATTCAGAATTGTGGGAGAATCTCTGTTTAAAAAGAAATTAAGATTCTCAATTTATGAATTTATTTTATTTAAAAAGACACATGAAATGAAGCTGTCATGCTCAGAACAGACTAACACACAGCCAGCCTCTGCATTGCAGATACCTGACGGAGTGAGTGTAATACTCCCGCAAACAGCAATAATCAGCCTCTCTGCGCTCCCTCCGTTAATAATATGACATTTTTTGCATGAATTATTTTTCCTTTCTGCCACATAATTAATTATTTCTTCTAATTCCATCATATGATATTTAATTATGCAGCAGTGCAGTTTGAGAAAGGTTTGGAGGAAGGGATTAAATCAATGAACGCTGTGTTAAAAAAGGATGATTTCTTTATTTGGATGTTAAATGGAGCTGAAGGATCACACACAGCACAGCAGGATCTCAGAAATACTGTGGGTTGCTATACAGCGACGACTTGTGCTGACAGTAATTCAATTACGTGTTGGAAGCAAGCATAAAACAGCAAAACTAAACAAAAACAGCTAAAAATAGGAATTTATAGTTGGCATAAATCTTTGCATCTGTGTGTGTATCAAACAAACAGAAACACAGTTCGGGAATCACTATAAAACACAAACCCATCCTCATTCTTTGTGTCATGCTGCATGTTTACTGTTAGTATGCTAATTTCCTTTATGCAATACTCAGATTGTCTATTGCATCCCACAATGCAAAGCTTGCACTCTATTTGACTTTCCATTTCAGTGTGACAAACAAAGCAGTCGGACATTTTTTAACAATTTTTTAACAAATTAGCTTAAAAATGCTATTTGCATTTTTATTTTCTAGGTAATGGATAACTGGATGTCACTTGGTAAATGAAACATGAAGCACAATCAGGTAATGTGTCATCAGTGTAGCGTGTTGAGGCGTGCACACTTTGATAACAGCGGTTGGTTGGCCCAGTATGCAGTGAGATGTGTGCCAGTATGCCGTTTGGAAGTTAACCACACAACACAGATACTTACAGTGAACTTTGACCTCTAAAGTGCAGTTTTCTTCTCCCACATCATTGCTGGCGGTGCATTTATAGACTCCTGCACTTTCCTTCGTCAGATTTTTCAGCGTAACAATCTCAGGGTTCTTCAGATCTTAAGACAAAAAACACAAAGATACTTTAATATGTTAATAGTTTAGACACAATTGCACACATGACAAACAATAAATCCTATTTCTTCCATTCATTTTGTTGGCCCCGCCCACATAAAAACCTCATTTTGGCAAACCTTTGTTCACTTTCACCACCGTTGTAAAGTTTGGGGTCAGGAACATTTCCTTCCAAGTCTCTTATGCTCACAAAGGCTGCATTTAGTTAATACACTTTTATCTGTTTTAAAATATTTTAAAATGTGATTTATTCCAGTGAGTTTTCAGCATCATTACTCCGGTCTTCAGGTTCACATGATCCTTCAGAAATCACTCTAATATGATAATTTGGTGATTTCTACAATGTTCCCTGTGTTGTGTTTAAGGACTCTTATTTTGAAGTGTATTGTTGTTCTTATTGTTCCTGATTTTACTTCCTGTGATTAGTTCCTGTTTCCTTTGTTTCCATTTGCTTCCTTGTTTGTTTCCAATGTTACCCTCGTTAATCACCACCGCAACTCGTTAAACACGTTTCTTCTGCCAGTTTAGTCATCTTGTGTCTTTCCCCAGTGTTTCTCTAGTTTTTTTCTTGTGTTGTCCTTAATTAATATCATGTGTGCGTTTATTTTAATTTTGTTTCTCCCGTTTCTAGAATATCCTGTTTTCTGTCTGGATTTACTTTTGTTGTTTTGTTCATTCAATCCATCAATCCTAGTTCTTCCAAAACATGTTTTTGTCGTACCCTGATTGATGGTGAGCCCGTTATAGTGTTGATATCAGCGAATAGAGAGGAGTTGCTCCAGCTAGTTGTCCGCATGCGCGGTGTGGGAGAAGCCGGGGTTAGTTGTCACAGCGAGCGAGAAAGGCTGACATGGCCTGTCACTTCATCACACTGGGCCAGATAAGGACACACTTCACGCTTCAGTACTGAACCCATGGTTAGTGTTGATTTCATCCTGATTTCTGACATGATCAGCTCCTGAAAGTGTAGAGCTGAATGCACAGATCCTGCTCCGGGGACAGAGAGCATTACACAGACGTCTCATCTCGTACCCCATCTCATAAGAGGGGCTAATTGAGGAGGTAGTGAAGCATGTGGGATGAAAAATGCTGATGGAATTGATGTAAATTTAATTTGAGAATGCTTGCGGTGTTAAATTGGCCCTGTAGTGTCTTCATCTATTTTCTGCTCCTCCAGAGAGGAGATGTCCACATGATTTACTCCACACACACCGAATATAAACTTAGCGCTGCATTTTCTTTCTTCTCGAGAAAGCAGAGCGAGTCGGTTTAGCGGATAAAGACCTGAGCAACAGATTACAGCCAAAAGATCATTTTTCATCTAAATGTGGCACAGAGAGCTATTAGTAATAATTATCACTATTACAATTTCCTCTCCTGCTTAAAGGTGAATTTTTTGAATACATTCTTTCAAGTCAGTTTATTGTCCGTTGATTACTATTAGTATGTCATTCAGAGGTTTATCTGACCTACAAGTTTAACATCGAGACCGCCAGGCACCATATAAACATTACGAGCACACAGCGTGCGTTTGGGGCGTGGCTAGTGTAGGAGGCGGAGCTGACCATGACTGATGCGTTACATGGGAAAAGACTTTAGGCTTCGGGTACAGGAGTCTTCAAAGATTAAACAGGTCATGAACACGGACAGGGAACTTGTAATTCTGCGTGCTGCCACTAGTTCCAGAAACTACACACTTCAGCTTTAAAGATGTCCGTGATGAAAGGCTATTACTGTCTAAGAGCTCAAGCTCACCGATGAGCGCCAGAGGAGGGAGTTTGCCAACATATTTCCCCTTGTCCAGAACTCTCTCCCATTTGTAGCTGATTGGGTCAGAACCATCTGTGGACTTGCAGCTCAGTCTGACATCACTTCCTTCCAGCAGACGGCCCTCCATCCAGCAGCGGGGTTTGGACGGCTTCACTGCAAGTTGCAAAACAGACATGGTAAAACACACTTTTGGGACGAGCCGTTTAGAGTAAGTGAAGTCAGATCTGCGCACACACACACACACACACATGCACTTTCACCCTTTTTGCATCATTCCCCATTTAAATGTGTTTTTCCTCACATCATGAAACCTTTTAAAACCCAGTGTGGTGCCGGCGAGCTCTACAACATCAGTCTGTAAAACAACCCGTTCACCATTCGGTCCTCGACCCCCCGCTCCTGCCCACCCCGGCCATCAGCATCTGCTCCTGCCGCCTCGATCTGCTGAGCCAGGGCAATTCTGTCTGTGTGTGTGTGTGTGTGTGTGTGTGTGTGTGTGTGTGTGTAGCCCTCCATCTCCCACCCCTGTCAGGATCACTTACTGCAGCCTCGGCCTCTGCCAAGACATTATCTGTGTGTTGAACGAGACAAATGCTAATGTTTGCCCCTCGGAATCGAGCGCCTCGTTTCAAAGCTACGGATCATTTGTACAAACGCAAGCGTAAATTTGTGTTGCTCTTAAATGTCTTTATTCAGCTGTCGAAGCGCTAAAGATGGAATGAGGGAATGTAAAAGAAAAACCGGGGGAAAGCAGACGTATAATGTTTCTATGCGAGCAGAAGTGTTTATTCAGTAATGCTCATGAGGAACTCGGCCTGATTTATGTGTTTTGGAAGCGCAGCTATAGTGTGTCGGATAAATGATGGAGATGAACACGTGTGATGATTTTTCTCTCCATGCGATCATGAGTCGTTTTTATTGTCGCTGAATGTCATTTCACGCCAAGATCGGGCCCAACTGGCAGAGTCATCACCCCGGTGCCGTGACATCAGCGTCTGTCGTGTGAGGTCTAGAAGAGGAGTGTGTTAAAGCCGGAGACTCACGCAGCACGATGAGCTTGACTGTGTTCCAGTGGTACTTCCCGCCGTTCTTGACCTTGCAGATGTACTCTCCGGAGTCGGCGAGCGAGAGGTCACTGATCATGAGTGACGCGTCCCCCTTCAGATAGTCGCCCGATAGGGACAGCCGTCCAGCTTCGCCGTCGTTGGGGTCGTAGACGCGACCCCCGGAGTAGGTGATCAGCTGGAACAGAGGAGACACACAGCCGGTTAATAAACACTGCTTTGCTTCAGCTTTTCAAGTTCCCTGAGCTACGGCTAAACCCCAGTGAGGGTCGAGTCACACGCCTGCGCTAAACTCCGGGGTCACTGCCAATCAGGCCTTTCTGCGCTCGCTTATATTGGTCTATTGGTGTCCCTGATTCTCAACTTTATTTGGTAAAGCTACTCTGCTCACCAAAACTGCCCCTTTCACCTAAAAAACTCACCCCTAAAATATCGATTTCTCTCTTTAAAGGCTTCATGCCATTTAGAAAAATAGTTCTGAACTGATTCGTGTCTGGCAGGAAGTTCACTCGGCGGCAGGTTTGAACCTTCTGGTCAGATATATGGTGTCGGGAAGGCCCTCGGAGAGCCGCTTGAGACGTGGCCAGATTAAAATGTAAAACTTGTCCTCGGGCCAAATCCACATCGTTAGCTCATAAAAGTAATTGTTGGGGCGATCGAGGCACACCGGTGACGGTAAGAGAGAGCCGGTGTCCCAGTGAGGACTGCAGCACCAGTTTACAGAAACACAAGCCATCCCATAATCACAGCAGAAAACACTGCACTGCAGATCAGCGAAGGCCAGCACACACACACACACACACACACACACACACACACACGCACACGCTCACCACTGTCTGCCGTGAGCTGGATTTATGCAGCATCCATTCGATGTCCAGCAGGCTGATGTCAGCTTGCCACAGCTGATGGTGGCAGGGCAGCGTGGCATTGTCCCCGACCACTCTCTTCATCTCCGTCTGGCCGTTCGCCCGCAGCACACTCAGCAGTACTGTGGAGAGAGAGAGAGAGAGAGAGAGAGAGAGAGAGGAGGCGTTACGGCACGATGCCAGCGAGGAGGTGCAGGGCTTTGGTTGGCGTTACTGCAGGATGCAGAGATTGGGGGTTTAGAGAGGAGCATCGGGGAGATCATGCGACTCATCCACTGCGCTCTCACACACACACACACACACACACACACACACACACACACACACACACACACACGGCTCTGGATGATTCAGGCCAGAGGCTCCATGGACACAATCATTGTTACACCCTCAGATCAACTCCTGGAACTGGACACCAGTTTAACAGCCAAACGGCCGATCTTCTCCCTGAACACACAACCCTCTCCAGAACACACACTGAACACACAACCCTCTCCAGAACACACACTGAACACACAACCCTCTCCAGAACACACACTGAACACACAACCCTCTCCAGAACACACACTGAACACACAACCCTCTCCAGAACACACACTGAACACACAACCCTCTCCATAACACACACTGAACACACAACCCTCTCCAGAACACACACTGAACACACAACCCTCTCCATAACACACACTGAACACACAACCCTCTCCAGAACACACACTGAACACACAACCCTCTCCATAACACACACTGAACACACAACCCTCTCCAGAACACACACTGAACACACAACCCTCTCCATAACACACACTGAACACACAACCCTCTCCAGAACACACACTGAACACACAACCCTCTCCATAACACACACTGAACACACAACCCTCTCCATAACACACACTGAACACACAACCCTCTCCATAACACACACTGAACACACAACCCTCTCCAGAACACACACTGAACACACAACCCTCTCCATAACACACACTGAACACACAACCCTCTCCATAACACACACTGAACACACAACCCTCTCCATAACACACACTGAACACACAACCCTCTCCATAACACACACTGAACACACAACCCTCTCCAGAACACACACTGAACACACAACCCTCTCCAGAACACACACTGAACACACAACCCTCTCCAGAACACACACTGAACACACAACCCTCTCCAGAACACACACTGAACACACAACCCTCTCCATAACACACACTGAACACACAACCCTCTCCAGAACACACACTGAACACACAACCCTCTCCAGAACACACACTGAACACACAACCCTCTCCAGAACACACACTGAACACACAACCCTCTCCAGAACACACACTGAACACACAACCCTCTCCATAACACACACTGAACACACAACCCTCTCCATAACACACACTGAACACACAACCCTCTCCATAACACACACTGAACACACAACCCTCTCCAGAACACACACTGAACACACAACCCTCTCCATAACACACACTGAACACACAACCCTCTCCATAACACACACTGAACACACAACCCTCTCCATAACACACACTGAACACACAACCCTCTCCATAACACACACTGAACACACAACCCTCTCCATAACACACACTGAACACACAACTCTCTCCAGAACACACACTGAACACACAACCCTCTCCAGAACACACACTGAACACACAACTCTCTCCAGAACACACACTGAACACACAACCCTCTCCATAACACACACTGAACACACAACCCTCTCCATAACACACACTGAACACACAACCCTCTCCAGAACACACACTGAACACACAACCCTCTCCAGAACACACACTGAACACACAACCCTCTCCAGAACACACACTGAACACACAACCCTCTCCAGAACACACACTGAACACACAACCCTCTCCATAACACACACTGAACACACAACTCTCTCCATAACACACACTGAACACACAACCCTCTCCAGAACACACACTGAACACACAACCCTCTCCATAACACACACTGAACACACAACCCTCTCCATAACACACACTGAACACACAACCCTCTCCATAACACACACTGAACACACAACCCTCTCCATAACACACACTGAACACACAACCCTCTCCATAACACACACTGAACACACAACCCTCTCCATAACACACACTGAACACACAACCCTCTCCAGAACACACACTGAACACACAACCCTCTCCATAACACACACTGAACACACAACCCTCTCCATAACACACACTGAACACACAACCCTCTCCAGAACACACACTGAACACACAACCCTCTCCATAACACACACTGAACACACAACCCTCTCCAGAACACACACTGAACACACAACCCTCTCCATAACACACACTGAACACACAACCCTCTCCATAACACACACTGAACACACAACCCTCTCCATAACACACACTGAACACACAACCCTCTCCATAACACACACTGAACACACAACCCTCTCCATAACACACACTGAACACACAACTCTCTCCAGAACACACACTGAACACACAACCCTCTCCAGAACACACACTGAACACACAACCCTCTCCATAACACACACTGAACACACAACCCTCTCCATAACACACACTGAACACACAACCCTCTCCATAACACACACTGAACACACAACCCTCTCCAGAACACACACTGAACACACAACCCTCTCCATAACACACACTGAACACACAACCCTCTCCATAACACACACTGAACACACAACCCTCTCCATAACACACACTGAACACACAACCCTCTCCATAACACACACTGAACACACAACTCTCTCCAGAACACACACTGAACACACAACCCTCTCCAGAACACACACTGAACACACAACCCTCTCCATAACACACACTGAACACACAACCCTCTCCATAACACACACTGAACACACAACCCTCTCCATAACACACACTGAACACACAACCCTCTCCATAACACACACTGAACACACAACCCTCTCCAGAACACACACTGAACACACAACCCTCTCCAGAACACACACTGAACACACAACTCTCTCCAGAACACACACTGAACACACAACCCTCTCCATAACACACACTGAACACACAACCCTCTCCATAACACACACTGAACACACAACTCTCTCCAGAACACACACTGAACACACAACCCTCTCCAGAACACACACTGAACACACAACCCTCTCCATAACACACACTGAACACACAACCCTCTCCATAACACACACTGAACACACAACCCTCTCCATAACACACACTGAACACACAACCCTCTCCATAACACACACTGAACACACAACTCTCTCCAGAACACACACTGAACACACAACCCTCTCCATAACACACACTGAACACACAACCCTCTCCATAACACACACTGAACACACAACCCTCTCCAGAACACACACTGAACACACAACCCTCTCCATAACACACACTGAACACACAACCCTCTCCATAACACACACTGAACACACAACCCTCTCCAGAACACACACTGAACACACAACCCTCTCCAGAACACACACTGAACACACAACTCTCTCCAGAACACACACTGAACACACAACCCTCTCCAGAACACACACGGCAGCGACAGGACCATCAGCGGATGCTGGAGATTTGGTCCAGTCCAATCACATTTATCCATTTAAAGCAGATTCACGATAATAAACAGGAAAATAACACATACATTTCATCAAATATGGGACTAATTAAAATGTGCTGTAAAGCAGCTCACAAACACAATAGTGTCATTATTTAGTGGAGTAGATCCAGTTGAGTTCATCAATTATGAAATGAGTTTGATTGGGTCTACAGAAGACAGCCGTGTTGTTGTTCACTTCTGTTTAGGTCAATGTTGATTCACACAATTCATCAATTATAAGCGATGTCGACTCCGCTATACAGCAGAAAACAGTGCCGTCGTCATCCAGCTCTATTCCGTTCTCATGCAAGTCAAACCCATAATATTACTGAATATTAAGTGTCCCCAAAAAAACAAACCAAAGGCCACAGTGGCAGGAACCCCAACTCCATCAGGAGACGGAGGAAAAGAAAGCGGGCTCCGTCTGGACCAGCTCTCCTCTGGCCTAATGAACGGCCATGTTTTATTATCTCCAATACTGATTTGTGGTCGAACTGAATCTGTGCTAATGTGTGTTACAACCCCAATTTCCTCCAATCCACACCATCACAGCCTCCCAGCGCTTCCCAACACGAGACATGTTCTGCTCATGGAGCGATAAAGCGAGGGCGAGGGCGTCCCACAGCGCCGCTACTGTACTTTAATACGCCGTGTGCGTTTGAACTCCTCTACATTAACACAGGGAGGCAGATAAATGAAGGCCAAGCTAATTAATTCCCAGCATGCATTCTGAATGCAGAAATAATGCCCAAACAGCCAGACAGCTCTACACCTCCGCCATACGCTACACCAACACTCCTGATGATGGGAGACAAATCACCAAACATCCGAGTGAGCACACTGCAGCGTTCTGCTTTATTAAAATAATAGAGACAGTGAATGTTTTAAATACAATCATTTAATTCAGTTTGGGGTAAACGTCTTCACTTCTGCAGACTAATCAAATATAGTCATTTAGCTTCTGCTTCATTCGTCTCACGTCTTAAAAAACAAGAGCCAAATCTTCAAAAAAGAGCATTTCTTACTATTCTGTAAGCTTCGGGGGAAAAAAAATGACTACTTTAACAGGCTGTACTCGAAAAAACAAGTTTTATAAGAAACGATCAAAATATATTAAAAAAATATAGAGCCTGGTCTCATTATAACACTCTTCATCTTCATTAAATCACGACACAGTTCATAATCTGAAGGAAGCCTGTGGAACATCTCCTTTCTCCTCCAATGTTGGATGATGTCGTACCATGTGATATTTTAAGAACATCAAAGAGACTTTTTTGGCCGTTTATTCAGCAAAAGCGTCTATCTTGATATTAAATGGGTTAAAATACAGGCCAGCTAAAATGGGTCCTGATGGAAGCAGGTGAAATCTGCAGCGTTAGCGTTAATATGGGACACTTTACAGACGATGATCAGGTTCTTCTTCAAAGGAAATGATAAGATCAGATAATCCTGCAAGGCCATCTTT